GGTAGCGAATGAGACGCTCTCGCGCATTCACGTTGGGGTGTAGTTCGATCTCGTCAGGGAACTCGAGATCTTCGTCCTCTTCTGTCTTCCTAGACTTCCGGTACTCCTCGATCTGTGCGGCCTCGTCCTCTGGTGATGGATCTAGGAACATCTCCGATTGTGGGTATTCTGAAGGAGCGCCCTCGGTCATAGCTTTGCCATCGACGTCCATTCCCTCTACACCATCTGCAGGGTGCGCAGGCTGGCTCTGGGCGTCTTCGTCAACTTCCATGTCGTCGAAGTCTTCCAGATCCGAGCCCGAGTCGGACATGTCGTCGAGATACCATGCTGACTGGTATTCACTTGTGCCTTTTGGTAGCCGCCTCTTTTTGGCCGGCGCGACCTCCTCCTCTTCATCTGAGAAATAGTGGTGGTCGTCTAGCAAAACACCCTTGCGCTCAGAAGGCGCAATAGACGTGGCGTAATTGGTCACGTCGTCCATGATTGTTTCCTCGGGTGCGAGATCTGCTAGGTCGTCTTGGTCTTCTGTGGGACGCTCTAGGATGCCATCGCCTTCTGTGTCAACAGCCATCTCTTCCTCTTTGTGCTTCTTCCTTGTCTCTAGTGGGGCGGCTACGATTTTGTCGACCTGGAAGTCACCCCAGTCTCCCACTTGCACCAGCCTGTCGGCCTTCAACCCAAGCCCGCGTACTACACCGGTAATGACAACATCGCCAGTGCCGTCCGCGTTGACGGCCGACTTGCCTCCAGGCCACGCGATATCCTCAATGAACATGTAGCTCCTTTGGTCCCTCCACCTGACACCCTTTGTGGTAGTTGTGCATAGCGATCGAACGAGGTTTGCGGCTTCTTGGCGGTTGTCGAGAGAGTAGACGCGCTCGGTCGCGGGTAGCCAGTGGGTGATGTACGACTTGAGCGACGAAACGACTGAAGGCCTGGCCTTGGCGGGCTCGACCTTGTCCAGTCCTTGCACGACTGTGAAGGTGTTTGAAATGCCCTGGCTTTCAACCGACTTCATAATCAACTCGCCCTTTGCGTCGACCTCTTCGTGCGCCGACAGAATGAAGACGACAAAATCGGCGACGCGGCAGGCGTCGAGAGCGGCCAGCAGATCCCTCTTGACGATCAAATATTGCACCTTTTGCTTGAAACGGTCGACGCTTGTGCGAGTCCATCCTGCCTCGGGAACCTCCTCTTCAATGTCCAGGCTGGCGTTCAGGCTGCGAACAGCTTCGGCGGTAGAGACGTCCGAGCATAGCGGGATGAGAGCGGTGATCCTCGGCGCACCGTCCTTGCCGGCGAACACGTTGGACGACTTTGCGTGCTCGTGGTCCTTGTTGATGCGCATCTGCTTGGCGCGGTTGCGGCGGTCGAACTTGCTCATGACTTGCTGGTGGGGGGTCTTGCGGCTGCCGAATTCGAACGAGAGGGAGTTGACCTTGCCTAGAAGAAACAGTCAGCAGCGTTGGGCGCGGTGGCGGGGAAGGAGCGACTGACCCTTGCTCTGCTCCTTCAGCGCGCCTTTGGTGGCATGGCGGGACTTGAAGCCCTTCTTGTCCTTCTTGGTCGTGCTCCGGTGGTGGTGCGCTGTCGCAGCCATGGGCGCCATATTGTTGCCGCTGCCACCTGATTTAAATCGGAAAGGAATCGACGCCACCTTGACTATGCGATGTCAGGACTCTGCGCTGCACAGTCTGGTGGGTGGTGGAGAGTGGGACGGCGATAATTTTGTTAATCGATAAGCCAGTAATTTTGGCTCCTCGGCTGTGGCGTCATGCAGCACACCCCTGCCACCCTGCATTCACCCCTCGCCTTCTGCCCAGGTGCTTTCACATGCCCAACTCCATCTCATACCTCCACCAATTTCACTTCAGCGATTCATTCATTATTTCGATGCAGCAGTGGACCAACTTAAACCTCACTGACCATGTTTCCAAGCTGATCACACCTTCAGCCTTCTCTACTAACCGACAGACTTTGCTAGAAGCAATCGACGCATCGGTCTACTGTGAATGGCACTCACGGTTGAGGCAAGCTTAATAGTACCATCATCATCGACCCTGAATATGTGATTCAGACTTTCTCAACAAATCATCCGCTGAGATGCCAGAAGTCGCGCAATACATCGCTGTGGATAGCCAGTCAGACGACCAACGACTCCGCTTTGGACCCCTACAGGTCACAACTTGACGATGGTTACGTTGTTCGATGTAAGGAAGTTCAAAAGGGTCTCAGAGGCACCCTCGTGATTGTGATTCCCCTTTCTCCATTCCTCTTTGTCAAACCTGCGAACAATCGCACTCGGTATCAGCGTCGTCTTTCTCGCTATCCTCATCAGCATTCATTTCGTCACAGGGCTTCGTAATGCCGGAACTGTCTCAGGAGGGTGTAGGCAACCTGAGCGCAGGGCAACCAAAACGAACGTACAGCGCAAGCCATCGCCCTCCCATCACACCACGTAATTCGATCGAAACCTCCCACCACCCCTTGGAGTCTTATCCCTTCGGACCAGAGCAAATCTTAGGCCACGATACAAACTTGGAACTTCCTCAAGACAAGCCTGCCGCAGTCGATCTCCTTGTCCGCCTTCTCGTCGACATCCTGGTATACAGCTACGACGTCGACTTTCACGAGCTCCATTATGCGCTCGCTGCATGTTCGCCCAAACTGTCCACCACGAACCTCTCCGCGCGGAATACCAGCCTTTTGACCTTCCAAGGAACGCGCGTAGTTCTCGAATACGCTGATGTCATCCACAAAGCGTGTGAGACTGTCGTCGACAACACGCAAAGCCTGCTAAAGGATAGCGACCGCGACTTCATCAGCACCTTCATTATGGAACCAGCACGAGCCATTGGAGTTGACATCGCTTACGTCTTTGAGCAGCTGTACGCTTTCCGGATGCACAGGTGTGAAGGTGGAAATCATCACAAGACATTACTCTACACCAAGCCGTCCTTCTGGACCCGGGGTCGCGGTCTCCTGCCGGGGAAACTGGGTATGGACAAGAGTCAGAAGTTGCTTGCACGTCGACTCGTCTCTGACGATATGGTTGTCGCCCAGCTTGGGACAAGGTCGTGCGAAGCGCTTCGGCTAGTGCTCGGCAAGGCAATCAAAGATTACAACCACAAGCATTGCAAATACGGCATGGCCAAAATCAATCGAGAGGTCTATGCCGAGCCAAAGTTTATCGCTTTGAAGAAAGAGCTCAAGTGGAGAGATTTCGTCTTTACAAAACACCTCCGCGATGAACAGCAGGCTGCGATGGCGAGTGGTCAGTCGGATTTCAGAGCCAGCAACCAGGCGGAACCTAGGACTAGTAGCCGATTTCTTGATGTACCACGACGAAACAGCGAGCACCTACGCAGACCAAGCTCTCTTCATGATCTACCCAGCATACGCGAACGGCCTGAGAGGCCCCCGAGGCCACTGTCTACGTCCAACATACGCTTAGGTTCACTTCGATCAAGGCCGGCGCGGCCGGGACTGTGGACCAACTATTAGTGATCTGTGTGGATGTCGAGGCACATCTACCTATCGGAGGCATCTCAGGGAAAGCAATGAAAAAAGGAACACGATGAGTGGCACACCGATAGCAAAATCTAGTCCGGAAAATAGAGCAAGTAACCTAGATAGCTCGTTGCGAAGCGAATTTACAGAAAAGATCTCTAAGAAAAAGCCTCGAAGATGACATACCCACTACCCCATCCCCGCCACCCTAATCCCAAAACGCCACAACCCTCGCCTCAATACTCTCCCTCGCCTCCTCCCCCTCACTCCCCTCAACCCTAAACGCCGTATGCGGACACCTCCACCCCCTCTCCTCCCTCTTCGAATCCAACCCCTTGAACACAACCATCTCCCACGGCTGCATCCCACTCATATACCACCACTCATGCCCTTTCCCCACCCCCTCTTCCATCCCTATCCCCTCATCCTCCTTCTTCCCTTCCAACGCCCCACAACTCAAAACATAATTCTCACTCCTATTCCCCGTGCGACTAAACTCCCTCAACCTAACCTGATAATCGGCATCAGGCACCGTATTCGCGTCGCACACGGCCAGCGGGTCCCTTTTCACAGTCTTCAATGGGCGCCAGCAGTTTAGGAAGGCGTAGCGCGTGGATGTTGTGAAGAGATTGTTGATGTGAGCGGGCAACGAGAGTTCAGTCAGTGTACCGGTGAGTGCGGACGCGGAGCCCGCGTAGTCGACGTGGGGGTGGCCCGAGGGGATGTCTTGCCATCGGCCGAGGGCGTCTTGGATGCCCTTTGCGGAGGGGGAGGTGTGTGCGCGGATTACGTGGTTGAAGACGTGGACGGTTGGGGCACCGGTTCTGGGGGTGTTAGTCTTCTGTGCTTCCGTGCTTCTGTGTGCTGATGTCTGTTATGGAGGATGGGGGGTAAGGGTTCATACAATTTCCTCACTACTTCTTCCAACTCAGGGTAGTATTCTCGTTTTACGTCTTCTTCGCTGCTGTGCCGGTCGACTCTCTGCTTTTGTGGTAGTGTGACGAATGTGAAGCCGTTGACGTCTAGGTCGAATGTCTTCTTCGCTTTTCGTACGTCGCGGATGAGCATCGGGCGGGTGTATTCATCTTTGTCGTCGAGGTATTTGACTTTCCATTCCGATTTGGGGATGGGGATGCCGGTGGCAGGGAAGTAGTTTATGTTGGCGATGACATCGGTGTTGTGTGAATCTTGTTGCATGGTGACTTTATTCAAGCAGATGTTCGGTTCTAACGATTGTCTTGGAAGTAAGATGCGAGTTAGTTAAAGCGAATTCAGATCTATTCAACAGCATATGGTTCATTGCGATGGGAACGCGGATCCGCTGGCCAGATGAAGTGGGGTAAGCACATGCGAACAGCACACGCAAGCAACAACTTCATCATCACTAAACATCTTAGTGGTGTAGTAATCGTTTCTCATATCTCATTAACCTGTGACCAACGTGAATTTTGTCTAAACCCGTTTTAGGCGTCGCTTGGCAAACCTCTAGTCTAGATGATCGCCTTCAGGATGTCAATCTGCTCCATGACGGCACTCTTGCTTGTGCCACCAGTGGCGTTCTTCAGCTCTACCGCGCGCTCGTAGTCTAAGCATTCAACTACGTCGTCGCCTAATCTGGAGTCGATACCCTTCAGCTGTTCCAAGCTCAGCTTGTCCATGGGAACGTTCTGGTCCTCTGCCAAGGCAACCACGCGACCAGAGATGTGGTGACCCTCACGGAAAGGCACACCTTTTCGGACAAGGTAGTCTGCGAACTCTGTGGCCAGCATCTCCGGGGCCAATGCAGCGTGCATCTTGTCGGCGTTGATCTTCAGGGTCGACAGAACACCGGTGGCGATTTGGATTGAGTCGCTGACCGTCTTGATGTGATCGATGAGAGGCTCAACAGACTCCTGCAAATCCTTGTTGTAGGTCGTAGGAAGACCCTTGATGGTGACATACAAGCCCGCCATATGTCCAAAAGCACGACCGCTCTTTCCTCGGATGAGTTCGAGAGAGTCTGCGTTCTTCTTCTGGGGCATCAGGGAGCTTCCGGTAGAGTATGCATCGGCCAACCGCACGAAGCCAAACTCCAGACTCGAATATATGATCAGATCCTCCGCCCAGCGCGACATCTTGAGCATGAAGCTCGATCCCCATTGTAGTGTCTCGAAGACGAAGTCGCGGTCTCCGACAGCGTTGAGGGAGTTTGTCAGTAGGCCCTCAAACCCAAGCTCCTTGGCCATGGCGTCGCGGTCGATGTTGAAGGGGTTGCCTGCCAACGCGCCGCAGCCGAGTGGGGAACGATTGACGCGCTTGATGACTTCGCGGAGGCGCTCGAGCTCGGAGGCGAAAGCGGTGGCATGCGATAGGATCCAGTGCGACCACCGGACGGGCTGCGCCTTCTGGAGATGTGTGTAGCCCGGCATAAGCACGTCGATCTCGGCCTCTGCTCGCTGTACCGATGTCTTGATCAGGAGCTTCAGGTAGCCCTCTAGTGTCCTGAGCTGCTCCCTCAGCCATAACCGCATGTCGGTCGCGACTTGCTCGTTCCTGCTTCGCCCTGTGTGGAGCTTGCCTCCGATGTCCTTGCCGATAATCTCGCTTAGCCGTCGCTCGTTGGCGGTGTGGATGTCTTCGTCGTTCGCCTTGACCTCGAAGGAATTCGTCGCCCACTCCTCCTTGATCTGAGCCATGCCCTTCTCGATGGCTGCGAACTCGTCGGCGGTGAGGATGCCATTGTTCTTGTTGGCGCGGGCGAATGCGATAGAGCCGGCAATATCTTCGGCGTAGAAGAGACGGTCGTAGGGGAGAGACGCATTGTATTGCTCCATGACTGGGTCAAGGCCCTCTGCAACGCGTCTTAGCACCAGTCATATCAAGTTTTGGTGAGCCCTAGAAAGCCATTGGCTGCACAAACCTGTGAAACGACCTCCCCAGAGCATGTTTTCTGCTACCTTCTTTTCGGATGCCATCTCGAGATCTATGAGAGAATAAGGTGTGGATTTGGGTTGTGACTGTTTGCGCGTTCGAGAAAAAGATATGACGCTCCGCATCGGCGGCAGGGGTGCGATAGCGCTAAAATGTCGCGGGGAACTTTCCCTCGTCTCCACATCGGCTGCCCCTCAGCCACAGACCCATCACCATGAGGTACACATCAAGCTTGCAGTGTCAACTGGGAAAAGATCTCATATTTAGAAGTTTCATTCATTCATAAGTCGCGTACCTGCTCTGAGTGCGAATCAAACAGAAGTCCTCCGGGACGCCAAACACGGACTATCCCATTCACTTCCAAAAGGAATCAAGAACTCTAGAGAACCATCTGGTGGAAAACTTAGCAATACTTCTCATCCGAATCTCTCACGATCAGGGGCTTACAAAAGAAGCGACGCCAGTTGGAATTTCTGCGAGAAGTCTCCTGGTTGAACCCAGCTTCTAATAAGCCCGAGTTGGAGAAATGCTCCGGCACATGCTTAGGCGAGTGTGAGGTAGCAAGCAGCTCGTTTCCGGAAGCTTGCTCGTATTGTTCCGAGACGGGGGAGCCACAATTTAATGAAGGCGCCGCGCTGTCTTTTCGCTTTCGTTGGGGGATTTGGTCTGGTTTCGTCTGTGGTTGTGGCTGTTGCTGCGCCTGTGGTTGTTGCTGCGATGCGAAGGCTAGGTCTGGAGAACCTTGTTTTTCAGCGTTGGCTGCTATTCTTTCTATTTCGATAATGGGCACCGGATGCCGAGGTTGTGGATGTATCAGTGCTTGGTCACAGTATTTGACGATGTGTGGTTGCTCCGGCATTTTTGACATGGTCTCCGGTCGACAGGCTTAGACGGTACTTGTAAGAAGAAACACCAAGGGTGTTTATAATTTATCTCGACTACTACTTAGTGCAGTTACGACTGCGGTGACGGGATCTGCATCGGAGTTCTTAGCACACAATGTTGTTGAGGCGCTTTGTGAGTGTGGGGAATCCATGGATGTCTTCCTTTGCTCACTCACCGCCTTTGTAGGTGTCGGAGACGATTTGAGGCTGGGGAAATCTTGCTTTTTACTTTCGGAACTGCACGAATATGTCTGCGGTTCGGACGTGCAACCAAGTCGTTCAGACCATTTTATCGTAGATCTCATCACTGTTGTCGTTCCACACCGCTACTATGGTCAAGGAATTGAAATATGTCATTATTCATTACGTCCAGCGTCAGCGCTAGGAGATGCTAGAGAACAGCCTTGGTATAAAACTCGATCAAGCATTTTGCATCTTTCTATGGTGATGCCATGTCCAGATCTCTTCAATGAAGCTCAGATGCCTCTGACAACTGCACCAATGACACTCAGACCCAGCAGCATTGATACCGCCCAACTCGCACCTCCACTGATCCTCACACCCGCACTAGCATATCCTCGCTCCTCATCGACCTTTCTCGCACCGACTGCCTTATCCGTGTTGAAGCACCCGAACATGCCCATGCCACTTGCGCCTTCTTTCTCGTATTCTTCCATCTTTTGTGCCAAGCAGCTTTGGACGATGTCTGGTGAATCGGTGATGCAGTATTGGAAGCAGCCGTCGTTGTCTTCTGAGTTGACGATGACTGGAGTTGAGGACGCGGATGGTGATGATGTGGTTGAGTCGGGAGCGGAATAAGTCGCGATCGCGTTGATGTGCCCGTTGCAGCATGCATCTAGTATTGAAGAGTTCGAGCCACCGACAGGTACGGCGCACGATGGGAGGTTGGTGGGTGGTTGAGGGACCGAAGTGAACGGTTGGCACGACATTTTTGCGATGTTACTGAGAGTTTATCGTGTTGTTGTGGGTATTTGGAATTCCTGAAGAGGCTGTCGAGGTGTCTTGCGATCGTTTCGTAGATGAGTCGCGATGTAGTCGTGATTCGAGATGACGTTGTAGGTACTAGACACGACTTGCGCGCTGGTCGGAATTTCTCTCGCAACAATAAAATGGGAAATGACGAAAGACGATAGATGAGAGAAAAACTCCGTCGCTATGCTGAGACTTGACTGAAGGAAACAAGCAAGTTATGTCGAGAATGAAACACAGAGTTGTTCACAGAACAGACTCAAAAGAAAAGAACCGAATGAAAATCGACTGAAGGAAAGAAAGACGGTTGAAGCTGGAGGATACTGCACTATCATCGCAAGAGCAGAGCCTCATATGTAGACTTCGTACGGTCTAAGAATATCTCAGGTGGATACGCGGGTGGGTAGTCGGCAGCGCGAGATCTAGCGTTACGCGCCGACCCTCTCGGCTGCGCGACGCGTTGGTTGGCCCGCAACGTTCAGCGGGATTACGCGCTAAAACCACGGACAGATCCGAAACAACACGTTCTGTTGTGGTTGAAACGTTGTTATGCTGATTTTAGGTAGCCATCATGCTCTGTTCTGTCCAATGGGTGTGTTGGGTTTGCTGTGGAGTGAATGTCACGTGCGCGGGATCGAACCATCTGGGTCGCTAATTTGCCGCTGCCTAGACGGCCGAAGGGCTGAGTAATGAGGAATGCATATCAGTGGCTGATGGAAAGATTGAATGCGAGTAGACCAGGGCTCTCTGATTCGATTGTAATATGGAGTTCGTCGGGTACAGGAATCCGTTCCACGTTCTTGCCCAGGTATAGAGTTGCGAAGACATTTCTGCTTGACCAGGCACACTGCGGCCATCATCAGCGTACGAGTTGTTGTACAGGCGGTCCATAGTCGAAGCGTATGACGGCCAAATCTTTTGAACTTGGAGCATGAATCTGACGCCCCGCCAACGCCTTCCCATAACAGAACAGACTGAGCCCCATACAATGCGAGACAGCTGTCGCAAGCGGTAGTAGGTTCAGCTGTTCTCGTCCTCATCTTCATGCGCGGCCGCCCATGGGCTTCTCTTGCGCAATGATACGCCTCTTCTCTCAAGCACGAATGGTATTGGCGCTAGGCAAATGGCGATCGCCATCAGCACCAGACTCGCGTTTCTGGTGCCTACGTTCAGGAACAAGTGTCTTCCGACGAGTGGGAACCCAGCACCAGCGAGATTCCGGATGAGTCCAATTCCGGCAAGTGCCGATGCTGAGTACGTCTTGTAGGCGTCTTCGGTGTACGTGAGCGTCATGAGAACTACATCGAATTGTTAGTGCAGCATCATTGACGTGGATCATCTCTGTAACTTACTGAGAGTGTAGAACGACCATCCCCAGAACGCGCTGGCGAGGACTGCGAAGAAGGGGTGTATGTTTGGCGTTGCGGTAAGTGCGAAAGCCAAAAGAGACACTGGTAGCACGATAGCTGCCAGCTTCGCATGATGCACTCGCGCCTCGGGGACGTCACGATGGCCGGCCTGAGAAACTCGCCTTTGGTAGTGTCTTTCCTGTAAGACATTGGTCGCTAGGCCAGATGTGATACCGACGACAATCCCGAGGAAGCAGATACCGACGCCGACAGTATCAAAACCGTATCCGCTGGGGCCGAAGATCATGTGGAAGGCGCCGTTGAACAAGAAGCTCAAACCGTAAAGGAACCCGTTGTAGAGTGCACCAAATTGTACGATAGCCTCAGAGCCTAAGAACCTGAATGGGCGGGCGAGTGCTGTAGTAAACAGCTGCTTCGGTCCTCGTTGCTTCATTTCGTCTGGCACTTCAATCCCATCGTCGCCTGTTTGCTGTCGCAGGACCCGTGCTCTCCGCAAGAGGATGACACTATGTCGTGTTTCCCCAAGGCTATAAAGCGCAATGACCATGACCACCCAGAAAGACAGGCAGATGAAGAACATGATGCGGAACACCGTATGCCACGATCGGCCATGCGCGATGAAAGAGAAGAGCACAAAGCCAGTCGGACTCCCCCCTGTCGCTGCCCAGAGAAACCAGGACATCGCTGGCCCGGTATCATGGTGATGAAAAAGATCCGCGATGGTGCCTCCAAAGTTCGAGATTGTTGTGGATGAAAAATAACCCGAGAACAGACGCAAAACAAGGAACGGCCCAAGGCTCTCTACATATGTCGTCCCCAAAAGTAGCAAGAGAAAGATACCGTAAGACACAATATAGACAGGTCTCCGTCCAAAGTATTCCGAAAGTGGCGCCAAAGTCATAGGACCAAAAGCCAACCCAAGAACATACATGCTCAGTCCCAGAACAGCGACACTCGGTGACACGCCCATGTCTTTCGCAAAGTCGCTCGCGACAGGACTAAAGCCACTCGCGCCCCAAGAGACGCTGAGGTCTATGGGAACAATGGCGGCGACCATTAGCCATTTGCGCGCTTTCGACCAGTTCCGGGGGTCGTCTGGATCGTGGGGCTCGAAAGCTATGACCTTGGTTGGAGAGCTGGACAGCAGCGGCTGGCTCTCTGGTTGAGAAGAGGTCATCACTGCGGAAGAAGGCCGCGCAAGCTGACAAGATCCCGAGGATTCCGATGTTTGGTGTTGATGCTTCGGAAGGCAGGTACGCAAGGCGGATTCGGGTCCCCCAGATGATGACGTCACCGGTCATTCGTCCCGGATTAACACCGAGACGCTGGAACGCGACATTTTGGATAAGTACAGCACTGTCAATTCTTACGGTCATGCGTCCCTAGCATCACTTTTGCGCGAGTTTGTTATGGCTTTGACTGACGGGAGCTCAACGCGACAATCTGACATAGGTAAACTACCCGGGGAGCTGCTCGATGTGTCCATCCAAAGATCCACGGCGCCCGGGCCTGCTCATCGAACACGTTCCATAGTTCTTTTGATCGTAAAAGGCTGCACTCCCTCTTCACGTACTGTTTCGCCTTCTTCCCAGCTAAGAAAGACATCGAATTGCTGCAGGCCCTGGATTTTCTTCAGCGGGGCAAATAAGACGTCTTCAAAATGGGAGTATGGCTCGGGACGATCAGCGCATGCCACCAGGTCGACCCTCATGTACTTGAGAGCTTCCATCTTCGATATGACCTTCCAGGTCCGATTCCAGCTTGAGACGTCGTAGGGCGGTACGCCATCACAGAACTCCCATATTAGGTATAGCTTCCAGGGGTTGTCACTCGCCCACTTCAAGTACAATGATTGGATAGCCTGGAAGTGGTGGGTTGGTACAAGACGGTGGAAGCAGAAGAATGCTGTACAGGTAGGAAAGTAGAAAGTGTTGGACGCGTAAAGATGCTGTATGGATTCGGAGTATCTACCCCAGAGAAGTCAGTCATTTTCTGTGGGCCAGCAAAGCCTCAGATGGAGGGAATAACATACGCCATTTTACACGACCGTGGAAAGGCTGTGAGCTGCAGAAACTTTGCACATCTCACATCGAAAACCTGTACTGGGTGAGTATTATTAAGATAATATTTCCACAATTTGATCTCTTCCGGGAAAAGCTCTATTTCAAGTTCTTCTTTTCCGAGGGCGTATAGGTAAATCATCCTCCGTAGCTCTGAAGGTAATTTCATGAAGAACAAGCATTGCGGCTGAGTGGAGATTCCATCTGTTGCTGCTCTCAATGCCGAGACTTCTCCCGTGTCGGAGCGTATAGGTGGTAAAGATGCGTTCCAATTCGCCCGAAGCGTGTTCTGTCCTTCTATTTTCCGTCGTCTTCGCTCCTGAAAATTCTTGGCTCTGCCCCTATCCATTATAGGTATGATCACTGCTTGCACAAACTTGCTGAGCACATACCAGCCTGCGTCTTTGATTGGTCGCATGGCCATTGACGGAAAGTAGAGGAAGATTGGATAAGGGGAAGAAAGAACGATATCATAAGCTCGCTGTTCTGAGCATGGAAAGGTCGTTGGTAATAAAGCGACGGTTCAATCCGAAGTAGAAATAGCACATCAGTAATATGGTAAGTTGGTGCCTAATCACCGGATGTGGCGAAGTGAATGCGGCACAGTAACCGTCCTATTGGGGCGTGGTTCAAGCAGGGTGGCCCCTCGCTGATTATGAGCGGAATCTATCTAGCTCATCGTGAACGTAGCAAAGCCCACTTGATGTCCTTCGGGAGGATGACAACTAGCCTAGCGGAACCATTGCGCTCATATCACCAACTGGACTCTTAACGAAGAAGAGAATGCCCCTTTGACTCAGGCTGGGGCCTATACTTGGTTTGGGAAATGCCACTCCACTCCCCGCGTGATTTTGAACGGCCATGTCTTTCCTTGACGGTGAAGGTCTTTATGTTCAGGCCAACTAGCGTAAACTTCAAACTCTTTCGATCCCTGGGCGGTTTCTAATGGAGTAAACAAAGCATATTCATAGTCAGCATAGATGTATGCTGACCCGGGCACCATCTCTACCCTCACATGCTTCAGTGCTCTCATTTTCGAGATTTTCGACCACATTAGCGACCAGCAAGAGGCATTGTAAGGCGGGTATCCGTGGACAAACTCCCACATTTCGCCCGTCTGCATATATGCCCATCTCAGTCTTATATAACGAATGGTATGAGACCAGCGCGCTGGGAGAAGGCGCTGAAGGCAGAAAAATGCTGTGATGTTGGGAATGCGAAACGTATTGTCGCTGTAGACATACTGTGACGCTTCGATATATCTGTGACGGCTCTTTCAGATGCTGAATATAGAGCCACGAGTTGAGCTAGTGAACAGGTATAGTTTACTCACGCAAGTTTACATGATCTCGTGAAAGCCAAGATCCTTCGTGCCTCAACACATCTCATGCTGAACGGGGCTTCGGTATCACTGTCTTCATGAAGTTCAAGCTGGAGTTTTTCCCCGCCGATGGCATAAGCGTAAATGAGCCTCCGCAGCTCTAGAGGCAACTTTGCGAAGAGCGGGGATTGTTGCTGGATCGAGACGTCTGCGCTTGAGAAGAGGTCAAAGAGGTCGTTACTTTCCGCGCTTGTTCCAGACGGTAGGCGTCCACTCCATTTAGCACTAGCCGCAGCTCCGAGTTTGTCAAGGAATTCTTCTCGTTTGCGTCCATTTCTCTCCGCTATGCGGCCATAGGGAGCTTCGATCAGAGTTTTGATGAGGTATTCTTTCAGACAGCGCATCAGCGCCGATGGTGAACGCGTGCCGCGTCGATTCTTTTGTTTTCTTGGTAGAGCGCGTGAAGACGTTGCCTGCGATGCGCAACGGTGGACGGTCGCTCCGCTGTACAGTACTTATGCATGCGGAGGCTTGTGTCGAAGACATCGAGCTCGTAACAGTTGTCGGGCCAATCCTTGTGCTGATTGTGGCACGGCATGCGGCGTGGCGACGGCCAGTGAGAAACAAAGCCAGGCAATAGTCGAAAGACGCGTTATTCTGTTCGCGAGACTGTCACAGAGTAATCAAGGTAGGGGCAAAGCGAATAGTAAGACGGCATAGGTGCCCAGTATCCAGGCACCAGATGCACACGGGTGCACATGCTCGAGTTCCCGTCCGCCACGCAGGTGAGCCTGTGAGCGCTATTGAGGATGAATTCGTACCTGAGTATGCGTTTGAGTATATCGGATGGGGTCCTGTATCATCTAATAGTACAGAATTGCGATGACACGCGCGTGTATGATGACGTGATGGCAACAGAGCGCGTTTCGTCATAGCTCTTCAGAAGCAGAGCTAGGTAGTTGCGAGCACGGCACCACAACGACGTCAACAACCTCTGCACACCTCTCAATGCAAAAACGAGATTCAATCTGCACTAACAGGCCATACAGTGCGGCCTGTTTACTCATCGCATCTCCGACAGCAACATGTAGGCCGTCCCGCCCTCCAACAGACCCTGTCCTCGGTCGCTTTCACGCCGAAGGGCCGAGTAGCGCGTCTTCCCCATAGCTCTCTCCTCCTTTACCCCGGATTACGGCCAGGATCATCGAGCTTAGCTTCAATTAATTTTCCCGTGTACCTGGATAAGACCTGTATAAGAATGGGGAGCGAAGTACTTCCGAGGGCAAGTAGTGCTCGTTGGCGCCTTCCGTTCACAATATGCGCTCCACCACAGCGACCGCGGCGGCGCTCTTGTTGTCTTCGAAAGCATGGGCTTTTCTAAACGCGAGTCAGAACAATCAGAGTCTTACTATTGCCAACGATCGTCTAGTTGCGTCTGTGAGCAAGACAAGAGGATATATCAATGTCCTTACTCTTGACGGGCAGAACCTCCTCGGGACAGAAGATGGCAACACTGGAGTCGGTCCATATCTCGACTGTTACTGCACTCCATCTGGCTTCTGGACACCTGGTCGAGGAAGCAATGTTCAGTACCAGCTGTTCAACGGCAAAGATTCTACTAATACTTCGTATGGGGGTATCAGCATGGGCGAGACCTACGCTCCGACCGGTCAGAGGCTAGAGCAGTACTGGTTTCTAAGAGAAGGGGAAACAGGACTGCATACCTTCAGCCGGGTGGTATACAACAACAAGACCACTCCCTTCCTGCGTAATCTGCAAGAGTTTCGCACACTGTTCAGGCCAAACCATGAACCAGCACTCTTCACGCACTTCGTTACCAACGAGAAGTTTGCTGCACCCCGCCCGGATACCGAAGGACAAGTCACCGTTCAAGATGCTACATGGTGGCTAGCCAACAAAGAAGATCCATACGTTACCGGCGTAGGAGACTACTTTACCAAGTACACCTTCCAAGACACATGGCGCGATCACAAGGCCCATGGTATGTACGCCGACGGTACTGGTAGCGCCAATGGCTCAACTTACGGCGCGTGGCTCGTACACAACACGGTCGAGACTTACTTCAACGGCCCCGTTCATTCCGATCTCGTCGTCGATGGCATCGTGTACAACTACATGGTCTCCAACCACCATGGCGATCAAACACCCAACATCACCGATGGCTTCGACCGTACCTTTGGGCCACAGTACTTCCACTTCAACTCAGGCGGCTCGCTCGAAGAACTCCGGGAAGATGCAGAACAGTATGGTCTCCGTCCGGAATGGAACGCCGATTTCTACGATTCCATCGCAAAACACGTACCGAACCTCGTCCCCACCTCCGGTCGTGGTACCCTGAACGCAAAGATCAACCTGCCCACCGGAGCCAAGAACCCCATCGCCATCCTCACAGAGAGCGGCCACGACTTCCAAGACAACGTCTTCGACACCAAAGCATACCAATACTGGGAAGACATTTCTCCCGCCGGCGAAGTCACCATCCCGCGTGTGAAAGCAGGGAACTACCGTCTGACAATCTACGCCGACGGTATCTTCGGTGACTACATCCAAGACGACGTTCTCGTCTCCGCTGGAGAAGAAACTTCGATAGCAGCGACATGGACCCCCGAGTCCGCCGGCACAGAACTCTTCCGCATCGGCACCCCCGATAAATCCTCAGGCGAGTACCGCCACGGCTATGCCCAGTCCCCGACACACCCTCTCCTCACGGAAGAGTACCGCCTCTACTGGGGCGCCTACGATTTCATCGACGAGTTCCCCGAAGGCGTGACGTACAAAGTCGGTACGGACGACGCGTCTCAAGCACTCAACTACGTCCACTGGGCTGTTTATGGCGGGAAAGCGAACTACGAGCGTCCGGAACCTGTGCCTGATCATCCGTATAACTGGACTATCCTGTTTGATGCTAAGGCGAATGAGCTCAAGAACAGGACTACGGCGACGTTTACGGTGCAGCTTGCGGGTGCGAAGACGGCGGCGGGGAATACGGATGTTTTTAACGCGAGTGAGCCGTATTCGAATCTGCCGTATACGGTTAATGTGAATGGGGTGGATCTTGAGCCTTGGGTTATTCCGTGAGTCCTCACTGTCCGTTACGCATTATCTGCCGTACAGTGCACTAACCAACTCATCAGATACAACCAATCCTCATCCTGCGCCGTCCGCTCAGCAGTCATATGCTACAACCTCGCGCACAAATTCCTTTTCCCTTCGGCTATGCTGAAGGAAGGGGAGAACAGTTTGATACTCAGCCTGCCGTACAACGGAACCAACTACGAAAGTGCGTTGTTGCCTGAAGCGGTATATGTGCAGTATGACGCTATGAGATTGGAGGTGAAGTAGATAGAGACAGGAAATAGGATATTTGATCTATCGAAGCTCGGTATATAAGAAAAGACAAATAACGCCGTGATTATGCACCGCTAAATGTACATCTACTCTTCCCCTTGTCATCGATGAGTGTACCCAATGATAAGGCTAAGCAACTTCCTCAACCATGCGTCCACTGAAAGGCTTCTGGGTCCCTTTCTGCGTCTCCCCAGAGAAGACACTGCCGACAGGGGCTTGGAGCCACTCGTCTGGCACAGCAAGTTGTGTCCCCTTGGCGTTCTGGATGTATCGTACGTAGAGTGGGTTCGCTCGCTCGGGCTCCTGTTCGATCTCTTCGCCATCTTCATTGAGCTCGATCATGGATTTACGGCCGCGCTTCGGGGGTTGTTTCTTGAGGAGACGGTTGATGGTGTCGAGCTAGGGGTGGAAGGTCAGTAACTGTGTATACTAAGATATGCTGGGTTCAACAAACCTTCTCCTCTTCGTTCCTCTTCTCGCTGAGGTTCTTCCTCCGCCTTGCCATTTCTGCCCTTCGCATGGCGTGCTCTTCGGCTGTGAGGTGTTTCTTCTTCTGTGCCTCGTTTGAGAGAGCCAGGAGTGCGCCGTCTTCTTCTTCGTTGATTAGGGCGCGTTGACGCTTCGTCATCTTGCTGACATCGGGGGTCTGGTCGCGGCTGAGGTCTTCGTCGCTGTCCATCTCGTCCATGTCTCCACCTGGTGTGACACCCATGTCGTCGTCTTCCTCGCCCTCAGCATCCTCGTCTTCGCCCTCTGCGTCTTCCTCCTCAAGGTCCGAGTCGGGGTCGCTGAGGTCGTCGTCATCATCGTCGTCCATGGCCATTTCCTTGGCCTCGACCTTGTCTTGTGCCTTTGTGAGCTTTATGGCTGGCGCTGGCTGGACGGGGATCCCTCTGCTCGCATTTACGGTGATGCGTGGTGCTGGTGTGTCCTCCATGTCGTCGTCTTCATCCCCCTCGGCGTCCATGTCCTCATCCTCGTCTCCTTCAGCGTCTGGCTCGTCGGAGTCGTCGTCCACGTCCATGGCATCAACCTCCTCGGCGTCGTCGTCATCTTCGTCATCGTCGTCCTCGCTGTCGATCTCCCGCACTACGCGACTACTCCTAGATGCGCGTTTGCCCGCGACTATGTTCTGCCTGCTGACGCCTGCCTTTGGTACAACTCCACCAGTGGCCTGTCTGAGCTTATTGGGCGATGACTTGACAGTGAGGTGGATCGACTGGCGCGTCTCTTCGGGCGAGGAGCGCTGTATGACAGCCGCAGCGGGCGACTGGTTGGCAGTGCCGCGGCGAGGGCGGGTCGAGGAAGCGGTCGGGGCACTGGAGATTGTTAGAGGAGCTGGCGGTGCGCGCGCGCGGAGGCGAGGCATGATTGCAGAGGAGCGAAGAGCAAGGCCGGCAAAAGCGGGAGGAGGCAGATAGGAAGGATTGCGACGGCGTCAGATAGGCCGTCGGGTCCGTTGGCCTGGGGCAGGGGTGTGCAGGCGGGTGGCACAAAGGTGGTGGTGAGAGGGGCGCCTCTGGGGGCAGTGACGGCCTCTTGGGGATGTTGTACTCGCTGCGCTGCCCTTGGCGATGGGTGCAAGCTATTCGCTCGCCTTGTCAGCCACATACCTGGTGCTGTTTCCTCGCTGGTCCCATCCCTCGCCCTCGGATTCGTCATGCTCGGTGCTTATCCGTCGCATGCGTTTCGCCGCGCGATCTGCCATCTTTGCGATTGGTAAGATGATATTCTGGATATTAAAAGTGGTTCCAATGGCGTGTTGCGACAATTCTACGCGTGTTGGTCATCGGCCATTCTATCAACCTTCAGATGGAGATTCGCCGGGATCTTCCCCAGGTCCGATTAGGCCCAAAGAGGCTAGCGCACATCTTCCCTCCATAGAACGGACGATGATCATGCACGCAGGACAACATTGAGAAGGGATTGCAATTCTTGGAAATATCACTAGTTACTTATAACTAATCTGATCTTCGATTGTAAGATGTTTTGGATATTATGAGTACATCGGACGACTAAGTGACTATTACCTGTCCCCTTCTCAAGTAAACACGGCCTTGACAGTCTCCTCGAGATCCTCCTTGGGCACGCCCAGCTTCTCGTTCCAAAGACCCTTGTATGCGAAGTCACCCAGTTGCTGTTCCTTGCCAAACGTGGCGCCTTGAATCAAATTCATGATACCCATATGATCTCCCGACTGGAGCTTGGCACGTCCTTGCTCGATGTGCTCCTTCACATTGACCTTTTTGACAGTCCACTTCGTGCCAGTGACCTTCTCTGCTGTGGCCAAGATCTCCTTTTGCGTTGTCTGGAATCCACTAATGTAGACATATTGGTTCTTAGTCAAGTCGGGGTTCTTGAGTGCGTTGACAGTCGCAACACCGATTTGGTTGAGGTTGGTGCTTGAGAAAACAGCTTCACCATCATCAAAGAGGGTAGCAGTCTTTGACTTGCCGTCAAAGCCCAAGAACGCTACCCTGAGGCCCCAGTCGAAGAAGGGGCCAGTGGCGATGCCAGTCCAGCTAATCTCCTTCTCCTTGGTCTTGAGGTAGTTGATCGTCTCGAACTTCGCGACGAACGCAGGCACGATCTCGTGAGCGCGCTCGTCAAGATTGTTGCTTCCATACTCTGAAGGAAGGAAACGCTTCACACCCGCTGCGATGGCGGCATCGATCAGTTTGTTTTGGTCGCCCAGTGCCATGCCGCCGACGATTGAAAGGACAGCGTCTTGGCCTTGGAACGCTTCCTTCAAGCTGTCGTGGGACTCATAGTCCGCGCGGATGACTTTGACGCCTTCGGGAAAGGTCGAGCTGGAGCCTTGGCGCGAGAGGACAGTTGTGTTGAAGGAAGAATCTTTGAGGAAGGCGTTCAAAATGGAGGGACCAAGGTTGCCGCTCGCCTGATGTTGTTAGTTGTTGTATACAGGAGAAGCTTGGCAGGTGTACCTACGCCGATGATGATGACGTTCTTGATAGACATGCTAGATAAGTGTTGATGGTGGAGTCTGAACAGATCGGATGCTTGAATAGATTGTAGTGTGAAAAGTGATCTTGAGCTTGTTAGTATCGTGGATTGTGTGGTTGACTCTGCCGATGAAGACGCTGTCTCATATATACCACGAGGAAGACGTGATTATGTATAGCTATGATGCAGGTATAGGGCCCCACATCCCCAAATCCGCCCTGCTTCCCAATCCGCGTCGTACAACCGCGTCAACTTAGTAACGAAGGCCGAATCCAAGCCGCACATGGTATGCAATCTGGTTATGTTGTGGCGTCATTGCTTACGATACTAGTGTTCGTCGACACTCAGGTGCTTGGGTAGATATAAGGCCGGTGTACTCAATCTGTCCGACAAGCACTCTCCAGAAGCTTCGCTGCGGAAGTAGTGCATGATAAGGGCTCTATCGCCGTAAGCTGATACTGTAATCACACCGAAGGTGGCATGCCAATAGATCAGGTTCAAGTCGCCAGAAGGCTGATGTTGGGGTTTGCTTAGCACATCGCGCGGAAATCCACCGCCGCGCCAAGGCGCTAGCCAGATCCTGATCGTGAGTGTGGAAGTCGCGCGCACGCCCGCGGGCCCGCGGGCGCCGTCACTCATCTTCTTGAGCTGTTACTTTGCGCTTTCCCACCTTCCTTGTCACATCACCATCCCAAAGAACACTTTTTGGTTGATACTGCATATTTTGCGGAGCCACTGATATTGCAGCACGATGAATCTTTCCATTCGGACCTCAACGCCCAGAGCGAACGCGTGATCAATCTTCATCGCCAAGACTCATTCGGTTCTGGATAATCCCCCATCTCTCAAGCTGCATGAGCAGCTCGAGCGGATCTGCTGCGTTCCAAGCGCTGATTTCCCATTCTGTACGATTCCTCCCGCCTCCTTTATCGTACACCCAGGGTATCTTCTCAATGGTCCACACAAGTTCTCGTTGTGACGCGTTCAATCGTCGGATGTACTCCCTCGCTTTCATAACCGCATCCTTAGTACACTTTCGCCGAACCTTCATCAACGACGCTAACACATACATTCCTGGACATCTCGTGTTGAGGCGCATCTTCGTGTGCATTCGGTCGATGTCCGTCAAGATTGCGTGGTACGCATGCTTGTTGAGACCGAGCGCGTCCATTTCAGGTGTATGAGGTGGATAGATGGGATGTCTAAAAGAGAAGCGCAGTACTCGGAGTCTGGTACCTCGTTCTACCGTCTGACGGCATTCCAATCTTCTGTTATGCTCGTAGCTGGTTCTGTTCACAGCACTAGGAAACTGCTCCTTCCACGCTCGATCATCGCTCACCAGCGCGGCAACGATATCTTGCTTCAGTGTAGTATCGGCATACTGCTTCCTCCTATTCGCTAGAGGATTGTCTTCCATCTCAGCCAGATACTTTGCATATGTACTGCGCCGCGTGCTGGCATTGATGCTTGCTCTCATCCAGGTTCGAAAGTAAGGATCGACACCATATCGGTCGATGTTGGCATTCAGAACCTGCCGTTTGCGAAGCGGGACAGCATTAGGCCAAAGAGGATATGGCTTCGAACGGTCCCGACTTTGTGCGTGGTGGGGAATGGGGTCATTTGCACACCCGATCGTCTCCGACGCAGACATTGCTTGACGCTCAAGTGTTGGTCTTGGGTCAGACTCCTCAGCAGATGGAAATGCATCGACGAAAGACAGACGCGGCCCCATACGCTGACTGGGCTTGCCTGGAGGCGCAGACATCAGTGCCGCTTGCAAGGTTTGGTCGCGGTCGACATGGAGTATCTGAATATGTGACTCTGAGATACGAGAGGGCGCGAAAAGCGAGAATGAATGCACGCAAACCATCACCGAAACGCCCTTAGCCTGGAGGTTCCACGTTATTTCCTCGAGTAGCTGATTGAGCGCAACGGCCTCTTGCTGGTTTTTCTTCAACTGTTCGGTTGTATCCCAAAACCTGCCGCATTTGCCTGGCCCGTGCTTCTTTCGGGAAGTCTTGCGTTTAGAGGCTTCAGCAGTGGATGCCGAGACTGGTCCTGCGCATTTCTTTCTCCTTATTCCCGTCCAGATCGTGTTCAAGAAGTCCCGCAGCGCAGTGATCAAGCGACAATAATCTTCATACGTGAGACCATGGTCTGCTAGCGCAGTCGTGTACTCTGTGGGTTCGCAGAGGCGAAAGGAAGTCACAAAATGCGCTTCGGATCGAGTACATTGCTGACGATCGGAGACCCCAGGAAACAACATCCCGATGTCGTCAACGAAGCGTTTCTCCGGCTGTTGAGGAGGTAGGCGAAAGTCGCTTGCCTGCACGGCGGATCTGGGGATATTCCCCAATGTTGAGTGCCTCGTACTAATCGCCGATTTCAAAAGGCGTCTTGCTGTAGCTCCTGTGCGCTCGTCAAGGGCGCGGTGATCCTCTGAGACACAGGGATCAGGCCATGTGGCTGACGAGGCCAGGCTGCTTTTTGGGTACGAAGACTCCGACTGCAGTGGTGGATCTTCGATCGTACTCTCCGAGCACTGTTTCCTGGAGGACTGCGCATAGAATGTGTGGTGATGAACCAGCGAAATCGCCTCTTCAGCAACGTTGTGAGAGTCGCTAACGGATCTGTTATTTGTTGCGACATGCAGATCTGGCTTCGTGGTTCGAAAAGGTATGGGTTCAGTGTGCCTACGAGCTAGCACAGGCCTGGCATGCTCGTCCTTCCCTTCTCTTTCCGCACATTCCTTGTCTTCTCTCTCGCTACCCAAGGTCGTTATACAATCCATCGACAGCCGCTGAGCCATTTTGAAGATCTCGACGTCATCGGTCTCTATCTCTCGTGTCTTTTCGGTTGTCATCCAAATCTGAAGGCGTTCCGGCTCGGGGGAGGCGGATAAAATCGCGTGTAGGTCTTTCCGGTATTCGAAACTTGATAAGAGCGCTGGTAAATAAAACGCTGGATGTTGACCTATTAGATATGCATCAAAAGCGACCACCAGCTGCTAAATCTACGAGTGCGACGCTCGGCACCAATTTTCCTCCTGCAGCGCAGTTGAATCTGGACCAATCTGCACTCAGATATTTCGGCCAAGCCTGAGGCTGGGGGCTGTGCGATAACAAAGGGCATACGCAAGGGGCTGCCCTTTGCGCAAGTCTGGGGCCAATACTTAAACATGTTTCGACGCACGATTGCATTTCAACACTACAAGCATTGAGTCTTCACCCAAAAGGGTTGCGTCCAAGGAACTACTGATTACAGGGTCGATGCCGAGATGCTCCGCGGGACTGGCGTGCGCTGCGTCTTCCGGTTTACGGTGGACTATCCAGGCGGAAGATACGTGGCATGTCAAGTTGGGCTTTCGTCACCGCTGCGATCGCTTTGAACTCTGGAGTCCAAGCTCAATGTGATTGTTGTTGGCCCCAAAGGTGAGACAATCTGGCGGTGGCGCAAAGGATCTGGCATTTCATGCGCCTGAAAACGCCGCAATCTCATGGGCCAAGATTTGCACGCATCTTTGCAGGGTATCTTCCTCCCTCCGATTCAGTTTTCTCAGTCGGTATCTGATAAGAGGTAAACCTCGGAGTCATACCGTTCGCGTGCAGTCATACACCGATGCGTCATACGAAGACTCAACATGTACACCTTTGAGGCAGCTTCTCTCACGCGTCACTCACAGACGCCGTCAACGACCATGCGTACTCCTACTCGGGTCAGTCATGCACTGCGGTGGACTCATTT